CTTAGGCAAACAGGATTAAGTGACTTGTCCAGGGTCACACAGTTTGTCAGTATCTGAGGTGAGATTTGAACCCAGGAAAATGAGTCTTTCTAACTCCAGACCTGGCACTCTATCCACTGTGCCACTTAGCTATGATATACAGATTATCTTTATTCTTTTCATAATCAGAAGTTTCCTTGACAGTTGACATTATGAGAGACAGAAGGGAAATCTCCTGTCTTTCTTTGTTTGGGACTAGTGTAATCCACACAACCTCTGGACCCACTCTCCCAACCCACACTCGCCCTGGCAGATTGAGCCCACAGAGTTCGTCTGTCTATATCTCTCCTAGGACCCTGGGAGGTTGAGAAGTATCTTTCTACTGTTATCATTCATGAGTCCTATCATTTGGTTTACTCCTCCCAATATCATTACGAGTCAACATCTCCCCAATATCAACTGACCAGTTACTTTTTCCTCAATATCATCTAACCAGGGATAACTGTCCTATTATCATTTTGATTAGTTGATTTTTTGATTAATTACAACAATTGGCTTTAATAAAGGGATATTTACTGAGAAGACAGAACAAGAGCCAACATACAAAACCGTCTAAAACTAGGAGCACACATACCTCCAACAACCTCAGTCCGTAGGGAGAGGGGACTTAAAACGGTTGCTACAAACCATCCACCCAGTTCCTTTCTAGGTGTGGTGTAGCTGATGGATACGCCATTCTCTGGCTGGTGGAAAACGGGATCTCAGAGGCAAAGAAGATTCTCTGCTGGGTTAGGTCAGGCAAGTCACCCTTCCAGCTGCCTCAGCTGCTGTGGCTGTCAGGAATCTCCAATTACTGGGCCTTTGGTGATTCTTCTAGCCTTTCAAAGCTCCCAGGTTCATGACATGGTCTGTTCCCTCTCTGATGCTCATTCACTTAAGATCAGAAAAGAATAAATACAGAGAGGAAAAGAAACAGAGGCGCCATGTTTTCGTAGCCACAGAATAGCTGGGGTGGGAGAGAGAGTCTGGAGTTCCCCTTCCACCAGGAGGTTCCCAGTAGCTTTTATCCCCCCTCCCTCTAAACCTGCTAGAGAAGGTTCTCCTTGGGAGCCATTTGTGCACACACTCAGCTCCAGCTCAGCTGGAATGAAACGGCTTTTCATTGCCACAGAACAAGTTGACCAGAGACAGTCGTGGAGTATCTGCACACGCTCTGAATCTGGGCAGGGCCCCTCCATTAGGCACCATCACGTGTTTCTAGAATCTGTACCCCCCCCCATATCCCCATTCAGATTGTCAGCAAGAAGAGTATATTGCACATGCTCCAAGGGTAGGGTCTCCATTGACCAGCCCTCTGTTACATACAGTAGTATAAATTGAAATTTTAAAAAATCATTCCCTTAGCAACTGATCTCACGCCTAGTAACCTACATAATTTGTTGTTCAGTAGTTTTTCAGTTGTGTCTGGCTCTTCATGACCCCATTGGGGGTTTTCTTGGCAAAGATAGTGGAGTGGTTTGCCATTTCCTTCTTCGTTCATTCTCCAGATAAAGAAACTGAGGCAAACAGGGTTAAGTGACTTGCCCAAGGTCACACAGCTGACAAGTGAAGGAGGCCAATTTTAATTCAGGTTTTTCTCACTCCGGACTTGGTGCATCACCTAGCTACCTACATAATTATGATGTGCTTTTAGCTGCTTTTCTGCTCACTCTTCCTTTCCTGGTGCTTTCAGAGAGTGAAGATCACAGTTCACCCACAATTCAAGAACCATAAATTGAATTTGAAGGGGGGGGGAGTACTTTCCTCCCTCTCTCTTTTTTACCTTGGCTCAGAGAAATGTTCTGTTCTGTATTGTTTGTCCTTTTCAATTTCAGGTACCTGTGTAGTAAATATTACATGTGGGGCTTTGTCTGGGATAAAATTGGGCCCTTCACATTTGCAAGGGCCCCAGAGAGATTTTCTACCTGGAATGATTGATTCTAGATACCCTGGACTCAGCAATCCTGGAGGAATTTGGTTAATTCTCTTTAAGCTATAAATATATAGTCAGTTTTTTTTCTAGTGTGTGTTTCCTCACAAGTCAATTCCATTGGTGTAATTTTGCGAACTTTTTGTTTGTTTACTATTTGTTAAATAATAATAATTTGTATTATTGAATTCTGTAAAAATATTGACGTATTGATACATTCTGTATTAGTGAGCCCTGAATTAGTACTGTTAATAGTTTAACGTGAGAAACCTGGAAACACAAGATTGCTACTGTCTGAGTGAAATATTCATATTGTTCTTTTTACATTTAAACAGAACTATATTGCTTACCTTTTGTGAAAGCAAAATGCCCTACAATTGTGTAGGGTGTGAATGCCTGTGTCTAAAAGTTACAAATAGTTGACATTCTTTTCTATTTCTCTTAACTGGGACTACTTGTCTTCTTGTCCTAATGGGAAAGCTTACAATTCCAATTGGTTTACCCTGCAGTAGCAAGCATCCATGAGACCCAAAGAAAATTGTCTGGACCTCTCTGGGGATTACCTATACTAGAGGAACTCCTAGAGAATTTGGGTAAGTTTTGTGGAGAAAGGAACTTTTTTTTTTTACCAGCCTCAGTTGGATGGCCTTATATACTTAAGGAATCATTGCAGGAGTCTCCACTCAGGATAGTTTTCTTATTTGAGAATGGGATAATGTCAAGTTAACCCCAGGCCCCAAATTCCTATGGGAAGAGCTCCAGGAAGTTTGGAAAGCTCAATGGATCAGATATCCATCTGAAATGGGAAAACAGTTTTCTTTGTCTTTGCTCTTTCTTTCGCTGGTGGGCTAAGAAAGGCCCTGTAAGGATAAGGTTAGTAAGTAGAGATATTTGGTAAGCTTTATCAATTGTTTCTTGTTTTATGAATCTGCAAGACTTTGTATTTGGGGATAATTGTGATTTTCATCTGTATAGGCAGGGTGCATATGATCATGCATCAGTGGCTGTTTTGAGACTTTATTGTGTAGCATTGGGGAAGCATGTAAAAGGACATTGCTTATGTCTCCTCAGAGACCACAGAGACCTATTGTGAATTTGGGATGAAGACTGTGTTAAAAAACATGCACCCCTGCCTATTTGTTGGAGCCAGTAAATTTCAAACAGGGGACAATGTATAAGAGGGCTTGCCGGACATGCCCAGATCACCTACCATGGAAACTCCCTACATCCCCTACCACCATGAATGGGAATTGACTACATTGTCAGAAAGGCTGTATCTTTAAAACTGGCCAGATTGGGACAGTGTCTCTCTTTCCTGGTCACTCATTCCTTCTGCTTCCAGAGGGCAAAGATCACATACAGTTCATTCACAGCCTGGGTGCCATGAACTGAAATGAGAGGAGGGGATGGGGGGCAAAAAGGAGAGAAAAAACCTTCCTCTCTTCCTTCTCTTTTACCCCAGCTTTAAGAATGGGCTTGGGGTCTCTGTTCTGTATTGTTTATTCTCAATTTTAGGTGCCAGTGGTGATTTATCACCAGACTCAGAGAGATGACCTTAGAACTAGGAATATAGGCAGGAAATTGCAGGTAGCCAGCCCAGGAGGCAAGCCCTGAGAAGCCAAGGTGCCTGAGACTCAAGGCCAAGGGAGGCTTTGGACTTGGAAATGGGACTATGATCTATAGGAACTGAGCTAAACCGTAAGCCTAATCTTCTTCTCCTCCCCAGAGACTGAGGTGGGAAGGAAGGAAGGGGTGGTGGAGAAAGAGGGGAACTAAGGCTCCTATGTTTTGTGGAATAAATTTGTATATTTGTGACTGTACCTTCTGAAGTAAATATCCCTTTGTAAAAAGTTAAAGGAAAATATGATTTTGATACAACTTGCCTTAACTAAAGATTTTCTCAGATGTGATTTCCTAAAGAGTTGCATGCTTAGAAGGACATTTTAAAAAAGTAAATGGGCCTCCAAAAAATAATGGAACAATGACAAAAGATTTAAAATGTCATAAAATCTTTGAGTTGAAAGAGGCTATTAATTCCAACCTATATTTGGCCAAGAAACCCCTCTATAATAACCTCAGGAAATTTAGCCTTTGCTTGAAGATGTCTAGTGAGAAAGAGTGAGGCCACCAATTTCCTTTTTGGACAGCTCTATTCCTACAAAATTTGTCCTTGCTGTGAGCCTCAATCTGTCTTAGTTCTGCCTTCTGGGGCTACCATGCTAAGTCTGGGGCCAAGAGTCTAATTCCTCTTCCATTTAATAGCTCCACATAAAAATTGTCATTATGTTCTCCTAAGTTTCCTCCTCAAGCTAAATATCTCCAGTTCCTTCAAGTAATCATTTTACAATGTGATCTCTGATTCCTTCAAAATCCTGGTTGCCTTCCTCTGGACATAAGTAACTCTGTCAACGTCCTTCTTAAAATGTGATTTCTATATCTCAATACAATATTCCAGAAGTACATTAACAAAGAAAGAGTATAATGAGACTGTTATCCTAAGTCATTAGTACATTGTCCTGCTTAATCAATCAACTAGTAAGAATTCATAAACATCTATTATGTTATAGGCACTGTGCCAAGTGCTGATGATACAAAAAAAAAAAGAAAAGAAATAGCCCTTTCCCTCAAGGAGCTTGTATTATATTGAGGAAGGTTGGGGGAGGGGGAAACAATATGTACATAAGTAAGTATATATATATATGTATATATATATATATATATATATATATATATAATAAACACAAAATAAATGTAAAGCGTCTTGGAAAGGGAAGGTACTGGGAGCCAGGGGGAAACCTCATGTAAATATTGTTGTTCAGTCATTTTTTAGTCATGTCCAACTCTTCATGATCCCATTTGGAATTTTCTTGGCAAAGATACTGGGGTAGTTTGCCATTTCCTTCTCCAGCTCATTTTATAGATGAGGAAACTGAGGAAAACAAGGTTAAGTGACTTGTCCAGGGTCTCACAGCGAATAACTGCCTGAGATCAGATTTGAACTCAGGAAGAGGAGTCTTCCTGACTCCAGGTCTGACACTCCACCTCTTGGTCTGTTGTAGATATTGCTTGATCTCAATCTTGAGAAAAACAAGCAATTCTAAGAGGTGGAGGTGAGGAGGGAGTGAAGTCCAAGCATTGATAGACAGCCCCTGCAAAGACAAGAAGATGAGAGACAGAATGTCATGGGTGAAAAACAAGATGGCAGCTAATGCTCCCCTTAGGCTTGAGTCCCAGCCATTCTGGCCTCTCTGGGCTTCTCTGCTGGGCTGGCTGGCTGCAACATTTTGCCTAGATCCTTGCTACAAGGTCATCATGGCTTGAATTCTGGGTCCAGTGAAGCATCACCACTGGCACCTGGACCTTAGTGCACGGAAGGGGAGGACTGTGTAATAAGGCTGGAAACATAGGTTGGGCCAGATTGTGAAGAGCTTTAAATGCCAGACAAGTGTATCTCTTATCCTAGATTTATCCTAGGCATTAGGGAGCTATTAGAGTTTATTAGATAGGAAAGTGATCTGGTTAGATCTGTCAGGAAAATCACTTTGGTATCCCTAGGAAGAATTAGAGATACAAAGGTCAATTAGGGGACTGACAATAATAGTCCAGGCGGGAGGTGATGAGGGCCATGTGAGGAAAGAGAAAGAAGATGTGAAATATGTCAGAGCGGTGGAAATGACAAAATCTAGCTATTGAATAGTATGTGGGGTGATAGAGTGACAAGTTGAGGATGAAATGGAAGGTGCAGACCTGGAAGACAGAAAGAGTGTGGTGCCCTTGACAGGGAAGTTTGGAAGAGTATGTGGGGATCTGGGGAGGGGGAACTTAACGAGTTTTATTTGGATATGTTAAGTTTGAAATGTCTATGGGAGTAACAGTTGACTTTGTTAGGCCTAGCTCTTCTGAGCAATGTAATGATCTAAGGCAATTTCAAAAGATTCAAGATGGAAAATGCTATCCACATCCGGAGTAACAACTATGGAGTCTGAATGCAGATGGAAGTACACCATTTCCTCTTTTTTTGTTTCTTCTTTCTCGTGGTTTTTCCCTTTTGCTCTGATTCTTCTTTCACAACATGACTAATGTGGAAATACGTTTAATATGGCCTATATCTTGCCGTGTTGGGGAGGGGTGAATGAAGGGAGGGTAGAAATTTAGAACTCAAAATCTTATAAAAGTGACTATTCAAAACTAAAAATAAATAAATAATTTTTTTAAAAAATGAAATGTCTATGGGACATCCAGTTTGAATATCTAAACTAGACAGCTGGTAATCTGGGGCTGGACCTCAAAAGAAAGATGAGGGTTAGATATATAGACATAGAAGTCATATGCATATAGGTGATAATAGATTCATGGGAGCTGATGAAATCACTAAGTAAAAGAGAATAGAGAGAGAAGGGGGCGTGACACAGAGTCTTGTGGTATACCTATAGTGAAGGAGATGGTGGAACACCAAAGGAGACAGAAAAGAAAATAACAATCAGACAGGTAGGAAGACCAAAAAAAGCAGGGTCATAAAAATGCAGAGAACATCCAGAAAAGAGTGGTCAAAAATGTCAAATGCTACAAAGAGATCAAGAAGAATATGGATTAAGAAAAGGCCATTCTAGTTGGCATTTAAGAAATCATTGGTCAGATTAGTCTGAAGGTCTACCTCATGTGCATCAGATAAACAAAGATTGCAAAGGAGGGAAACAGGAACAGTTGAAGGGGTTTGGGGAAAGCATACCCATTGTTGGTGGACCTGTCAAACAGTTCTCCCATTCTCCAAGATAATTTAGAACTACACTTTAAAAAGTCACAAAATTATATATACCCTATGAACCAGGGATATATGTACTCATCCCAAGGAGGTCAAGGACCCATACGTACGAGGATATTTATAACAGTACTTTTTGTTATAGAAAACTTTTAGAAACAAAGTAGGTTTCCATCAACTGGACAACAACTAAACAAGTTGTGGTATATGAGTGTAAAAGTATTTTATTATGCCACAAAAAAATAATAAATTTGACAGATACAAAGGAATATGGAAATATTTGTGTGAATTGATAGAGAGTAAAATGAGGATTAAACGGGAATATATGTAAAGTGCTTTGCAAACCTTAAAGTGCTGCATAGTCATTATTCTCATTATTATCAAAACAAGATTAAATTGGCATGTGTGTAAAGTGCTTTGCAAACTTTAAAGTGCCACATAAAAGGTAATTATCACTATTGTTTTTATTATTAAAGCAGAACCAGCAGGTCAATTTGCATAAAGACAACAACAACATGCAAGAAAATAACCCTAAAAAACTTCATAACTCTGACCAAAGCCCAATCAGTCATGATTTCAAAATGCTAATATTGAAATATCTCTCCTACCTCTTGGCAGAGAGGTAATGAGCTAGAGGCTCAAAATAAACAACACACACACTTAAATATGGCCAGGATGATCATTTTTCCATTTGCCTGACCATGCATATTTGTTGCAAGGGACATTGACTTTCTTCTCCTAGAGTCCAGTTCACCTTTTGCACAAAGAGACTCAAACCCATTGCTTAGGTCTTCAGGTTCTATCTTCTTTCCTTTCTCCTCCGGGTCACAGGTTTCCACCTTCCAGCTTCCCAATACAGATTTGGATTCTCCTATGCCCCTTTGGATTATTTTTGCTCTTTGTTTTCCACTTAAAGTACTTCTTCCATTCGTTCAAGAACTATTCATTTATTGGGTGCAGCTAGGTGGTGCAGTGGATAGAGCACTGGCCCTGAAGTCAGGAGGACTTGAGTTCAAATCTGGCCTTAGACCAAATACTTGACACTTCCTAGATGTATGACCCTGGGCAAGTCACTTAATCCCAATTGCCTAAAACAAAAACAACCTATTCATTTATCTAGGGTAAGTGTAGACAGGTATCCCTCAGCCTAGGGCTTCTTAACCTATGATCTGTAAACTTTTTTTGAAGCATATTTTGATAACTGTATTTCAATAGAACTGGTTTTCTTTGTAATCCATTGTATTTTATTTTATGCATTTAAAAACATAATTCTGAGAAGGGGTATATGGGCTTCCTTAGATTGCCAGAGGGGTTCATGACCCAAAAAAGGTTAGAACTCCTTCTCTAGCCCTTTTACTGTTCTCTAGTAAGGAAAACAACCCGTATTTTGTGCAGATGTGATATTACTTAGAATTGGCAGAAACACAAACATAATGCAATCCCTTTCCGGCATTGAAATATTCCCCTTGTCCTTCATACTTGCTAATCTTCGTGGCTAACTGCTTTGGCAAATAGCCTGTTTGCTGCCTGTGAGGCATGACTTTTAAAAAAAATAGAGGGTTTTCCTTCCATATCTCTGTTATTGGGTAATACTTGATCAGATGTATTTGATGCGCAATGATTAGAATCCTCCCAGAACCTTACTGCAAATAGCAGTTGCCTCTGAAGTTATCTGTGAGATTGACTATAGGAATTTAATTTCTAGCCTCTTCTCACACCTTTACTTTTCTTCTTCAATCAGTCAATAAACATTTATTAAGCACCCACTGTATGCCATGCACTGTGCTAACTACTGGAGATACAATCTGGTAATAGTTTATAAGATGGATAGATTAGAAGGAGGAGAGACTTTAGGTTGGATTTCCAGTTAGGATTTATTACAATATAAAGCTAAATGCAACTAATGGGGTAAGAAATGGGAAGGAAAGGATTCAAGAAATATTATAAAGATGAAACAACAGGCAAGGAACATCAGGAAAAATAGCTGGGATTGCTCTCAGGAAGAAAATTGCACCAAGGGATGTTTATTGCCAAGTGTGATATGGGACTTCCCAGGAAGTCCTAGAAACCCTTCTCCATCTTACAGAACCAATGCATTATGGGGGATCTGGACTACTGAGACAATGGGTTTAAACTCAGTAGTTCTATAAGTCTGCCTCTTTGAACAATTCTACATCCTCACTGTGGACAGAGGGTTCCCTGGGGACCCGTTTGGACATGGAATCTCTGAGATCAGCTCTGACTGACCAATAGAACTGCTCTCTGAAACCAGAGAGAAAGGGAATGGCTGTACAAGTAGTGGGATGTGAATATAAGGGAATCTGTTTGTGTTGTATGATAACAAATATGATAGATTCAGGGAATCCTAGGAAGACTTGTATGAAGTGTCGCAGAGTGAAATGAATGGAACAAGGAGAATGATTTACAAGAAGACTACAAATATGTAAAGGAAAACAGCTTTGAAAGACTTCAGAACTCTGAAAATGCCCTTAGAGAGCAATTAGATTAACCACTTCATTTTACAGGTAAGGAAATAGAGGCCTAGAGAAATCCTCAACTGTGAAATGAGGATAATAATAGCACCTCCTGAAGGAAGGAAGGAAGGAAGGAAGGAAGGAAGGAGAGATTGAGGAAGGGAGGAAAAAAGATAGAAAGGAGGGAGGAAGAGAAGGAGAAAGGGAGGAAGGAAGAAAACCTGGAAAAATTGAGGAAAAATTGAAGGAGAGCAGTCTCTAAGCCCAGATGCCTGTTCAGATTCTACTTTAAGATTAAAAGAAAAGTACAATCAAAGACAATTAAGGAGGACATAAAATGATTAAAGAGAATTAAGGAGGATCAAGGAGTATTAAGGAGAAGAGCCTAGAGAGGTTGATTCAAGAAGGAGTAGGTAGCTGGCAAGACAAGGCAAGATAGTGAAGAAAAGGTGCCTGGGTCAGAGGGTTAAGCAAATTGAAAGAGTGTATCATTGGTGAGTGAGGAAAATTGTTGAAACTGCAAGGCTGATACCAGACAGGGAGGTATGTGTCACTGTGGATATGGAGTTGTTGAAACAAAGGAAAGGAATTTGAGCGAAGCTATCAAGTTATTAAGAGGTAATATTTGGCTGTAAGTTTTAACTGTGAGCTTGGGGGATGGAGGTTGGGAGAATGATGTAAACACCCACAAATCATTTAAGGAAACAAGGCTGCAAGTCACAACCATTAGGGAGGGTAGGGAAAATTATACAGTGATTGGTATTTATTCCACAGCTTAGCTACCATTATCTGCCTGTAAGTGTAAACTGTTCTCCCTCCTGAAGGACAAAGTGAAGGGACAACAAGATGCCTCTCCACACTTAAGGTTGAAACAAATAATGATGTGCTCCTAAAGGAAACAGAAGTGAGGGATGATGGGGGAAAAAAAGAGATTTAACTTTTGTCACAATGATGAAGAAGAATAGAGTATAACACAGACAAGAAAGGGAATAAAAAGGACAGCTTTACAACCAAAGTATGAAAACAGATTTGAGACTTTTTCCGTGGAGGAGAAAAGCAGATACTCTGAGGAAGAAGTAGCAGCTTGGTCTCCAAAAAAATGACAAGGTAGAGCCACCAAAGCCCCAGAGATAATCCAGGCAACCTTTGACTGTGACTTGTCTCTGATGTCTCAGCACACAAGACAAGTAATCCCTTATTTCACTGCATAATTGTTGCAGATTTTATGCCAAATTTTTGCAAAAAAAAAAGTGGGGTGCAACCATTATGTGAAGCTTTTTAAAAATTGTGCCAGTATTACTTAAACTATTAATATTGCCAGTATTACCATGCCAGTATTATTAAACTATCTTTGGTGCAAGATTAGGATGCACAGAATGCTTTTGAGTATACGTTAAAATTAAATACTGACAGTGAGCATGTACTGAGAATTCTAGGCTCTCAATGCATGAGAGATAAATGTGTATCCATATGCCACTGCTGAATACCCTGCTGCTTTGTTTACCTTTTAAATGGCATGATGAACAGAATTGTACCATGCAATGATTATGTGATGAAAGGTTATAAACCAATTTTTGAACTGAAAAAAGAGGGTGTGATGATTATGTGGTGAAATAAGGTAAGTAGCTGGTGATTTCTTGCTCCGGGTTACTGAGGCAGCTACTTTTCAACATGATAACAATAATCCAGAGATCTATTGTTTTCCTAAATCCGCTATCCAGGACATGAGATAACCTACCAGTGCTTATCAAAAGGGATGACAATTACCTTCTTCTGTTGATTCACACGGGCACAAACGACACTTCCCGAAGGAACCTATAAAGTATTGTCAATAATTGTGAGTTATTATTATTTTTATAATGCTGAGCCTGAAATCAAGTGACATGAATTCAAATCCTGCTTCTGACAATTATTAAGTATGTGACTTTGGGCTAGTCTTAATCTCTGTAGGTTTCACTTTGTTTATTTGTAGACTGAGGGTAGTAACATCCACTATACCTAACTCACAAGAAGAGAACTGTGAGGACCAAGTGAAATAATGTCTAAAAAGGGCTTTGTGAATTTTAAAGGTTAAATAAAAATAGATAAGTAAAATTAGTCTTTTTTTGAGACTGGATCTCCCTGTTTGATCCAGGCTGGTAGTATAGCTCCCCAATGCTAATACTAATAGGCCTGGAAGCTTTAAGCCATTCATTTTTCTAACACTGACTGTTAGACTGTTTCCCCTCCTTAGACAGTTTGGTAGCCTCACGTGGTTAGGGGTTTACCATACTGGTGCCAGTCAGGACAGACACTTGCTATGCTTTAGCCCGCTGCAGCTCAGAATGCCCCAATTCAAGCAATCCCCCAGCCTCGGTCTGAACATGGCAGAGGCCAGGCCTAGCTATTATCTTTTTGCAAGTAAATTTAAACAGGAGAGAAACAGATGAAACATTTTGATATACAACTATGATATAATCTGTGAATGGGAAGAAAACTTTAATTCAATATTTTCTAAACTACACAGTTTCCACAGGGGAAAAAAATGCTTCCCTGAATATTATGAAAATAAGAATATTTAAAACTTGCAAAATAATACCTACATGTTAAAGATTACTCTTTGCTTATGACATAAATGCACATGGAATACAGGACTTGTGATTCATTGATGCAGGCAGTGGAATTTCTGGGTGTGGACCTTCCAGCCCCTTCTCTGCAATTCATAAAAGGATATCAAGCACAGTCAGCAGATGCTTTGAACTAGTTCAAGGGCTCACAGCCAGTATGACTCAGGTGAGATCTGAATGCAGGTTTTCTTAGCTCTGAGATTAGCCCTTTTTGCACTGCATCATATTCCTTGCCCCTTCTCTTCCTCTCTCCCTCTCCCCCCTCCCTGCTCTTTTTCTCTTTTTCTGTCTCCCTGTCTCTATCTCTCTATCTCTAGTCTGTCTGTCTGTCTGTTTCTCTCTTTCTCTGTCTCTCTCTCTCTGTCTCTCTTTCCCCTTCCTTCCCCACTATGTATGTTCATTCACTCATTCAATAAACATTTATTAAATGCGTATTATGTTCCAGCCATGGTGCTAGGTGCTGAGGATATAAAAAGAGGCAAAAGATAGCCTTTGCCCTCAAGGGTCTTACAATCTAATCGGGAAGACAACATGCAAACAAATATATCCGAAGCAAGCTATATACAGGATAAACAGGAAATAAAAGAGGGAAAGCAGTGGAATTAAGAGGAGTTGGGGAAGGCTTTCCCATAGAAGATGGGATTTTGCACCATAGGAAACACTGAACCAACAAGAAGAGGCACCTGATAGGGCATTTGGGGAGGGGATGAATAACCCTGTACTGGTTAAATGCCCCTAATACTTTCTGTGTTGTAGCATAGGGCAGTAACTGACATTCACCATCGCTCCTGAGACATCAGGAAAAGGTTAAATTCTCATCAGTATTCATGGGATCTGCCTACCAGAAGCTGCCATGTGCCCTGAACCACCTACCCTCATCCTGAGACTGGTATCCCTTAATCTCCTTAGCTCACGGGTGGGGAACCTGTGGTCTCGAGGCCCTCTAGGTCCTCAAGGGAGGCCCTCTGACTGAATCCAAACTTCACAGAACAAATCCCCTTAATAAAAGGATTTGCTCTGTAAAACTTGGACTCGGTCAAAAGGCCGAGCCCAAGGACCTAAAAGGCCACAGATCCCCCACTCCCACCTTACCTTGAGCTGGACGTACTAGGATTGCTTCCTGCCTCTTCAAGAACCTTAGACAAAAGGTCTGCATCTCTCGCTCACAGTACCCAGGTCTCTTGCTGGTCATTAGTTTCTTTTGCTCTTTCTCCTTTCCTGGATTCCTAACCAGGAATGGGCCCATAAACAAATTATAACATATAAATGACATGAAATAGCATTATGTTAAATTGAGGGAAATGTGAAGACTTGTATGAATTGATGCAAAGCAAAAGAAGCAGAATCTGGGGAATAAGATACATAGCAACTACATGGAAACAACACTAAAAGAGCTGAATTCAGATAAATTGTAATATTCAGTCTCGGCAAAGTAAGAGGAAAATGGATTGAAAAAGAGATGAGGGAAATAGGGATGGGGAGAACTGTTTCACTATTGGCATTGGGAGGAGGAAGGGAGTCTGTCAGAGGTAAGGGAGAACTGGGAAGACAATTGACAGAATTTCAGCATTGAAAGGGACTGTCATTAGATTGTGAGGTCCTCGAGGCCAGAGGCCATCTTTTGCCTTTCTCCATATCCCCAAGACTTAGAACAGTGCCTGGCACATAGTGGGTTGGTTGTTGTCCGTTGATCTCGAAGAGGACCAACATGACATCACTATGCTAGAGCAAGTTTCAACGTGTATGACTGTGGTCGATCAAACCAATGTGAGCGTGGAATGCTCTACCACAGGTCAGCACAAATAGCCCATGTGAACATTTGGGGTGGACTCTCTAAATCTGTACATCTCCTGTTTTTTTTAGCTACTTCCATCCTGCTTTGCTCATAGAGCACAGCACCCTCTCTGATGAGCACGCACCATGCTGGATGGTCCTATGCCAGTGTTTCCCATGTCATGTAATCAATTCCACGGTTCTTAAGAGAGACCTTGAGAGTGTCCTTGAATCACTCTTTTCTGACCACCGTGTGAGGGCTTGCCCTGTGTGAGCTGTCCGTAAAATAGTCTTTTTTGGCCAGCCTACATTTGACATTCAAACAATATGGCCACCCCATCAGATTTGTGCTCTCTGAAGGAGAGTTTGAATGCTTGGCAGTCAAACTTGACCTCAGTGTCTGGTATCTTATCCTGCCAGGTGATCTTCAGAATCTTCCTAGCCTGGCACAGAGTAGGTGCTTAATAAATGCTTACTGACTATCATAATAGATCAAGGGACCCCAAAGGCCATGTAGTCCAACCCAACCATTATATGGGTGAGGAAACTAAGGTTTAGTGAGAAATTAGGTGACTTGCTCAAGATCATGTAGATAGGAAGTAGCAGACCCAAGATTTTAACCCAGGTGTTGTGACTCCAAAATCATAACTTCTTTTGCATCACACTGTGGTTATTTACTCTGAGTCACACCAAAAGAGGAATCCCTTCTGCAAGGCTCCCATTAAAAGGTCCACTAGCCTCTGCATGAAGACCTCCACTGAAGGGAAGTTCATTGCTTTCTGCAGATGCCCTTTCCAGTTTTGCACAACTTTCCTTGTTAGCAAATTGATCCATACCTTCTTGACCTAACAATTTTTTTCTCTCCTCTACTTCTCTCTTTAGAAAGAAAAGGGAGATGACAAGAAAACAAAGAAATGTTTTAAAAACCAAATTTCCAGGAAATATCTTCTGGTCAATGAACTTTTCAGCCTAATTTCTTACACCGTCTCCAGTCAGAATCATCCAAATGAGACCTATGCTTCAGAGCAGCAATAAAAAGATGATAAAAAACCTCAAAGAGTAATTAGATTGTGGCCATTATATGCTACTTACTAATACATTTTAGAAAACTTTAAACGTTTTCAGAGTTAAACTTATCATGTCCTCCTCTAGGTTCCTTCTCCTCCCAACTTTCTTTTTCCAGATGAGGGCATTGAGGTCTTCCCAGCCAACAGCCTCAAATCTTCACTTATCTTTGATTCTTACCAATCTCTTACTTCCCTATCCCTTTACATCCAATAAGTTGTTAGGTCTTGCTGATTCTCTTTCTTGCCTCCATCCCTTCCTCTCAATTCATACTACCACTACCTTAGTTCAAGCCCTCATTCCTCCCTCCCAAACTACTTCATATTCATTTTACAATTATTCTATATGTACTCATGTACTAAGTGTTCACCTGGCTCTCTCTCACAGAGCCAGGGCAGCTGCATCCCAAGACTGGAAGCTCCAACCCCTTTTTCTAGAATAGTGGTATCACCCTCAAATAGAAACAGGAGGCACTAAACCGTAATAGGGATCCTCTCTGGGCACATTGAGTTAGAAAAACACGTTAACATTTTCTTGATATTATTCAGTCATGTCTGACTCTTTGTGACTCCATTTGGGGTTTTCTTGGCAAAGATAATGGAGTAGTTTACCATTTCCTTTTCCAGCTCATTTTACAGATGAGGAAACTGAGGCAAGCAGGGTTAAGTGACTTGCCCATGGTCACACACCTAGTAAGTATCCGAGGCTGCATTTGAACTCACAAAGATGAGTCTGCCTGACTCCAGGCTCCAGCACTATCTTTATGTATTTTGTTAAATATTTCCCAATTACATTTTAATCTGGTTTATTTCGTATTTGACATCTCTGACGTAGACCATAAAAGGAGAAATGCAGAGGATAAGCACTAAAGCCTATTTTTCATGGGGCCATTTTGGTGGGGAGGATCCAAGTCATCTTGTCCTTACCGCCTTGTCTCTCATTGGATGCCATGAACGGAGGGCTTGAACCACTTGCAAAACAGCCAAGAGACTTTTGAGAAGAGATGAGGCCAAGGCTAACTACGGCCTTTTTAAAAAGGTCTCCAATTCCAGCTATGTATCCAGTTGAAAAGCCTCCTCCAAACCATGTAATAAACAGAGTTATACAAGCTCAAGTCTTCCATTCCATCTCATTATTCTTGCAGAAGTAGGCTACCTAGCCTCCCCAATGTAGGAAATTTGCATCAGGCAAGTATCTAGTCTTCTCCCAACAGAGTGTAAGGTCTTTGAGAGCAGGAGCTGTTTAAGTTTTGGCTTTTATCCCTTATGCCCAGCCACATTCCTGACACATAGGTGTTTAATAAATGTTCGTTGATTGATTGATTTTTGTCAGGATTATTATGATAGGTTCTTAATTTATTTCTCTGTCATCAGTCTCTTTCATTTTCTAATCAATCCATCACACAGCTGCCAAAATAATCGTCCTAATCCACCATTCTGACTGTCACTCACTTGCTCAAAAACCTTCAGCGACTTCCTATTGCCCTTAGAAGAAAATACAAATTCTTTCACCTGGAACTTAAGGCCTTTCACCCAGACAACTTTTCTGGTGACATGGAAGGGTCTGACCTGCACACAAAGTGCCTTTGCAGAGAGGACACTAGGGAGCAAATGTCATCCCTCTCCAGGCATAGGATGCTATTTCTAGGAAAATCATGATGACATGTAAGGGAAGTGACTTGGAGACACTTGGAGTATGTGTAGTCAGTTCCTGCTTCTTGTTTGCTCAACACATGTGAAGGAAAAGCTAGTTGTGAAGGGATTTTTAAAAGGTCTATTTGTCTTAGCTAAGGTCTCTTTGCCTCATTCACTTCAGGGGGATCTAAGTTGTTCTTTCACTTGTTGTATGAAGGGAGTGAAGGCTTTAACCCTGGAAGCTTCAAAATGGCAAGAGAGCAAACCACAGATATTTAAGATTATTGGAGTCCAGGCTGCGTATTTGCAGCAAGCCCAAGATCTGTGCCGTAAGATCCAAAAAGTGATTCTCTCAGAGGGACCTTGTGGACCCATGGTAGTGAAAACTGAAATGAGGACTCATGGCAGAGATGCCACCTATGGAGGTGAACTCAGTGGGACTAATGTTATGTAGTAATTGAGCTAAGCTAAGCTTACTTCCCCTCTGCACACACACACCATGGTATGGAGAGGGTGGGAGAAGAATGCCCCCAAGATGTTGGATGGAAAAAGTTTGTACTTTGTTCTTGATATGAC